CGGTCCGACTTGGCCCGGCTCGGCCCAGCCCAGCCCGGCCCGTCTCGGCCCTGGCCTGACTACCGCCGGTAACGGTCGCCGGCCGGGGCGGCGCGGGGATCCCGAAGCCCAGGTCGGGCCCTGGGGGGGGAAATAGGGGGCTTCTCGACTGGGGAGTGGGGCTGGGGGGACCCTGGGCATCACTGAGGGGACACCGTCCCCGGAGAACTGCCCTCTGGCTCCCCGTGCTCCCACCGGGCTCCGGCCTGGCCCTCCCTGCCCCGGAGATGGGGAGCCCCTCTGCTCCGCTCTGGGGAGACCCAACACCCCCCAGTGCTGCCTCCAGCTCTGGGGCCACCAACAGCAGAAGGACATGGAGCTGTTGGAGCGGGGCCAGAGGAGGCCCCGGAGATGCTGGGAGGGCTGGAGCCCCTCTGCTGGGAGGGGGGGCTGAGAGAGTTGGGGGGGTTCAGCCTGGGCAAGAGAAGGCTCCGGGGAGACCTTGGAGCCCCTTTCAGTCCCTCAAGGGGCTCCAGGAGAGATGGGGAGGGACTCTGGGTCAGGGAGGGGAGCCATAGGAGGAGGGGGGCATTTGACACTGAAAGAGGGGAGATTGAGCTGAGATCTCAGGAGGAAATTCTTCACTGTGAGGGTGGTGAGAGCCTGGCCCAGGTTGCCCAAAGAAGCTGTGGCTGCCCCATCCCTGGAGGGGTTCAAGGCCAGGTTGGAGGGGGCTTGGAGCAACCTGGTCTGGTGGGAGGTGTCCCTGCCCAGGGCAGGGGGTGGCACTGGATGATCTTTAAGGTCTCTTCCAACCCAAACCATTCTGTGATTTCCAGCGCTGACAGGCTGAGAGTCTGTTTATTGATACTTTTGGGAAGCTCTTGCTGCAACATGGGTCGTGCTCTTCTGTTCATTGTAAACTTGTTTCCAGCAGCACTTGAAAATTACATACTACTCTGTGCTTTTTATACTAAATAATCCCAAGCTTTTTTCACGGGCAGTATTTTTAAGTCCTACATATTGTAAAATTTCCCCCACTTGACTCTCCTGAGAGTCTTTCTTGAGTTGGGATGGGAATCCTTGTTGATTTTTAAATGTTTTCTCTCTCTTTTTGAAAAAATACTTCCTTTTTCTTCATTTTCAGAAGTGGGGGGACACCTCTCCTTGCTTCAGCTGTAGGTAATGGCAGAGGTTGTTTCCTCTTGTGGTGTCCCTGTGGGTCTTTGCTCATTAGTAGCCTGTGGCTTGCACCTCATGAGTTGCAAGCTTGATAGGTCAAAAAAATAATAGCAAGTCGACAAACCTGATGTAGCATCAGCACTGGCTGGAGGTGTCTGGTTGTGTCTTCCCCCAAAGCTGGGTGAGCTGGCAGGCATGAAAAGCTGGTGAATTTGGGGGTTTGACCTTGGAGGCCCTGCTTAAAGCTTAGGAGAAGCAGGAGTGGATGTTGCTGGGCTCTTCGTGGCAGTGAAGCCTTTGGCGTTGAACTTATCCCAGCCTCTCAGGGAAGGAGCTGCTGATAAAGAGCCTACATTGGCTCTCAGGATTTTCTGTTTGAATTTTAGCCCTGTGGTGGGCAATGAAACCTCTCTGAAAATCGATTCCGTGTAGGTGTGATTAGAATGGAGCAGAAGAGCTGGGACTGGCTGGTGCCTGCTCTGGCCACCCGGAGAGCTCTCTGGGCGTGCTGTCAGCAGCTCTGGGGATCTGCTCATCTGCTCTCCTCAGCAGCTCCGCCATCAGCTCTACAACAAAGATGTTTTCTGCATACTGATTGATTTTTGTTAAGCACAGACAGGACCAAAGAGAGATGAAACACTCTCTCAGAATAGGGATAGGATTTTTTTTTTTTTTTTACTTTTCCTCAGTGAAATGTGTGGTTTAAAATAGAGCTGAACTCCCAAGGACAGGCTTTAGCCTCTGGATGGAGTTTTAAAATGCTGTAGGAGCAGGATAGAAGTTCTGATGGAAGTGAAAGAGAGTAAAGCTGAGTCTGCGCTTCTAAAAGCCTCTCTTTCTGTGACCTGCTCCCTCTGTTGTTGATTGCTTCATCATCCTTAGCAAAGATCCAGGAGGACCCCTCTCTAAATGCTTAAGAAGGTGCATAGATGTCTTGGAAACAGAATATTGTGTGAATACCTCCACAGAGCAAAACTGAAATGGGTCTTTTGTATCCTCAGGACGAGTTTAACCATTTTTATGCTAGAGAGCCACAGTTTCATGGAGGAGCCACTGGAATAAATTCTAGTTTTCCTGGTGTGGTTCCGCATGTCGTCTGTTTAACCTAGTCTGTAAGAGAGACCTGGGAGAGATCCGGTTTATGGACAGATTCTTACTGCTACTTGCTACAAGGTGCTTATGATTTTTTTCTCCAAAGTGGCAAATAGCCCTGTTGGAGGTGGATGTGGGGTTGGCCCCTTTGGAAGTCCCCAGGTGTCCCTGATCCACCACAGTTTGGTGCACCCAGGAGCTGGGATCTGCCAGTCCCTGTGCATTGAGTTTGTCCCTTTGCTGAAGTGCAGATTTGCTTTCACTGCTGCTGTTTGAGTTATTCCCTTCGTTAGATCTCATGATTTGATTTTTCTGAATGGTTGCATTGGGGCTATTTTTTTTTGTGTGTGTGTGTGCTAGAAAATTCTTTTTTCCTTTATTTTGTGGGTATTTGGCTTGTAAGTCCGTGAAGGTGACCGCTGTTCTCTTCACTTGTAATTGTGTGCTAATTGTAATTATTTCTTTCCTCTGTGGACTTCGGCTTATTCTGCAGCTGGATGGAGAAGTAGCCTTGGTTGTACATTGCCATGGGTGACTGCTGCTGTTTTGTACTTTCCTAGCTGCTGAACCCACCAGGATTTGGTGATGGAGGCTTTGCTGGAAGGAATGCAGAGAAATGGGCAGGGGAGGTACGTATGCACCAGTATGCACCAGTCATTCAATGTCATTTAAATATTAACCTTGCCTCTTATTCAGAGTTGAATCCTCTGGTATCAGGCAAAGCTGACATTGCTTATTATTTAAGAACTTTGGAGTTTGTCCACTAGCACATGCTGGTGGACAAATGCAGTGTGTGGTGGCCTTCAACTGGTGCAGAAGCAAAGTCACTGGGTAAGCTGGCTTTGCAATAATCACTTATCAGCTATTACAGTCTTAATTGTTAGAAGTGTAGCTTTGCATCCTCCTGAAAACCTTAACTCTTTTTTTTTTCTTTTGGTTGTTGTAGCTTTGCATCCTCCTGAAAACCTTAACTTTTTTTTCTTTTGGTTGTTGTTGTAAACCCTTGTTGTCTTCTAACATCAGGAGCAGCAGTAATTAAAGGTGTGAATAAATATTATTTTTGGTAACAGCCTTGCAAGGTTAATGAGACATGACATTGTTATCTGTTTTTATTGAAAACATCTGATTATTTCCTGCTCGTGCTGAACCTGCAGCCCCATTCATCTCTGAAGAACCCTTAATGCTGTCTTAGGTGAAAGTGTCTAGACTTTGATCCCAGGGAGAGACTGTAGTGCCAATAATGGGGAAAAAAATGTTTTAGGTGTTAAACAAGCATGAAGCAAAAGTCCCTGATGCCATTTTCATAGTCATCTTTGCGAACGTGACCCAAGTTTCTTGGTACCATATCTTCTGCAGATAACTGGGTGCAGAAATCAAGTTTAGACTTAGTTTTATATTAGCAGATGCTGTGAGGGAAATGTTCTTGCTTTGCATAATAGCTGCTAATTTTTGTTTAACTCGCAGGCCAGGGTGAACTTCAAATTTAACTGATTTTTGGCTCCTTTAAGAAGTATTTCTTTCCCTATAGAAAAACTGCCAACTTGCGAAGTGTACATATGCTCTGGGGGAACAGAGAAATTTCAATCCCTTACCCTATTGATTTCCATTTC